AATGTTCCCAAGTCCAGAAACGTAGCAAGGAGATCGGTAAAATAATCCATGTGACATCAGGGGTTCAGCCGTAATTTTACGAAGCTACGAGAATACTTTTTGTGTGCAAAAGAAAAAAACCCCGACTTTATTCAATAATTCACTGGACGTAAAACAACGTATGCTGTTCTGTGTCAGCTGTGTCACGCCTGATCTGTTTCCTACGTTGTTGTGATTTGATCTGAACGGAAACAGCGTATCCGTGTGACGCAGCTGACACAGAACAGCATACGCTGTTTGAACCCCTGATGTCACATGGATAATTTTACCGATCTCCTTGCTACGTTTCTGAACTTAGGAACATTTCAGTTGCATTGCTGTCTATGCAGGGTAAGACAGCTCTCAGATTTTATAAAAAATATCTTAAATTGTGTTTCGAAGATGATTTTTGGGTGAACTAACCCTTTAAAGTAGTGTTTATAAGTGCAGCTGCTTTGTTTACTGCGGTAACCAAGGAAAGGCTAATATCGCTGCCGCTGCTGTTCCATAAGCTCCACCTGCTGTCAGAGAATAAATGTTCCTTTTCATTCAGTCTGTCTGCGGTTTTTGTTTTATACAGGTGATTCATGTAGCATAATTTCACAAATCTAAAGTCAGACCATTCTGTTTTTGCTTTAATTCTTGAAATTATACAATCTAATTCAAATCAAACACAACTGCTTGTGCTACATGTACTGTATGTAGCACTACTGTCTGTACAAAATAAATGAAAAAATACATTTCCTGTTGTACCAAATTCATATCGAACTCGTATCGTGACAGGACGGGATAGGATGAATATAAGCTGGCACAGGATATGATGGGGTTGGATGGGATGTATGATTGAATAGTGATACGATGGGATACAGGATAAGGCAAGAATAGGATCGGATAAGATGGGACAGGACAAAACAGGAGAGGATTGGATTGGGATAGGAAGGGATATAGGATAGAATACAAAAGGATAAGATATGATAGCAGTGTCGTAGCACTCAAGTCCGGACTCAGACTCAAGTCTGTCTCAAGTCCAAGATCATATTTTCATCTGGTCTCGATGAATAACTGAAAATATGGTCTTGGACGTGTACTTGAGACATAAATCAAAAGATTTATACTCTTAATTGCTGACCTGTGCCTGACCTGTCTCGCTCTCTTTCTGTTTCCATCCCTTCACGACTCCTTTCTTACATTTAAGTTAAATTCCAAATGCCATTGTTCTAAATGGAAGTGATCAATCAAATCCTTTTCAAAAATCTGTTAGGGTATGATGGTCACTGGTCATGAATTTTGCCATTTATGATCATGTGATCCTGAGTGGCGCATCCTTGTTTATTTTGAAAGATGAGGTATTTGAAATAAATCATTTAATACAGATACATATATACATTTGATAAATATATAATTAATACAATTACATAAAAATCAATAGAAATAGATTATAATTAAATAAAAATATAAATTGATACAATCCGTCCCAGATAACACCCTTCTGGGTGAGTAGAGGATATGATGCTCACTTTTGAATTAGGCAGTGGATGTTTCTTGTATATCTTCCTGTCACAGATATACAAAGAAAAATGCCATCTTTGAAAATTTAGTTGTTTCAGTTGTAGAAATTAGATTAAATGTAGAGTAAATGGTTAAATATGGTGCTTCTCAAACTTCTCTACTGAAAAAAATTCCCCAGTAATCTCACATATGTCTCAAGCTGTGCTCAGATTTGCCAAGATGCCAAGGAATTTTAGAACAAAGAGAGCTGATACTTTGAAATGATATATAAACAAGTCTATTAAATCTAAGGTTATGAAAGAGCAACATCTGCACTACAATATTTCCATGCTGACCTTGAATTATGATTGTAAAAATGAAAACAACCCATTATTTAATCAATTGTTTTAATAACAATAGAAGCCATTGTGAGGCCTCAGCACTTGTTCACACTTTTGGCCATCCAAACAATTTACGATCGGATGTTAAATATTACATTTGGTCATTCTTTTGAAATATGAAAACAATGTCCTGTGCTCCTTTTATAGAACCTGACCAGTTAAACATTGTTTTATCTATATATGTCCTTCTGTGTTCTCAGACAGAGACTGAGTCACAGCTCCTCGCAGCCAGGCGTGGCTTAAACATGCTCACAGACACACCTGTTTTCAGTCATAGAGGAATGTGTCACATGCAACCACAATCAGCAAATATTAATATTACTCAAAGCCATGGGGATTCCCACAGGCTTTGTTGAATAATCAGACCGTCCCCTATGGTCAAAAGGTCACTCAATGAGCCAAAAGGTCACTCAATGAGAGTGAACTGCAGAAAACAAGATATTAACTGAACCAATTTCTAACATTTAATTTCATATCATTTAAAAGCATTAGCAATACTATAGCAATGTATCTACTAAACAATGAAAGAAAATATAAAAATGTATGTGTCGTTCACACTGACAGCTATTTGTAGAAGAAATGTGACCAGAAATCATTCATTTTTAGAGGTGGCGACATGAGTGACAGGAGATATTTTATGTACAAACGTGACATTACGAGCAACTGTCATTGGGAATTTAAACAGTGAAGCACTTGTGACAGGATAGTCAAACTGGAATGACTACTAGCAACCAACAGTACAGTGATTTGGGGGCCTCCAGTCATTATTCAATGTCAGTCAGGTGTGAGTTATGGGGGTTTACGGGACCCTGATTCCTCTAATTAAAGCTCAACCCACCCTAAAACAAATCAAGACTACAGTTAAGAACTATTACAAGTATTTGTGTTTTCATAATTCATGTAAGTACATATTATACATTTCAACAACAATTTCAAATGTTTCAGTAACCACAACAGTTACGTTGCAAGTTATTCAGCGTACACTAAACACTCACAAACCTTTTAGTGTTTTGTTTAGTTTACAAGTTATATCTAACACAAGATATTTGGGTCACACAAGAAAAAAACCCGACTGATTGCATTCCAAAAAAGTACACTGAAAGTCACTGAATAATTCATGCCATGCTGTGAACGCTCATTTACATATTGTCTATTACATATACAGAAATTTGAGAATATAGAAAACAAATGGCTGCAACTTTCCCTTTCTTTGCCACGTTCATTATTTAATGTTTAACTAGTCCCAGGCTGATTTTTAGTGAATGTAGGAAGTCAAGTTCACACAGGAGTCCAATTAACAAGGTTAAGTTCACTGCATTAACTAAAGTATGACAATGTTAGCCTAATATTTTACAACTAGAGAGTATCTAAATGCATTTCATCTTCATTTTGAACAAGATATATAATTTAAAACCAAACAAACAACTTCTTGATATCTTTGGTTGTGCATGCAAAGTGTGTTTGGGCTATATTTCTTTCAAATAAATGCCATTTGATTTCACATTTTGTTACCTAATGCAATGACAGACTTTTTATTTTCCAAAATGAACAGTTCGATATATGTTTTGCTTATTTCTCGGTGTTCGAGGTAATATAGCCAGTCTCACTCTGAATGTCGTAACTACGCCACATAAAACTATATTTGCAGAAGTGAGAAAGATGTACTTCAGGAAAGTATACTTTTAGTCTACATTTTATGTACTTCTCAGACATGGGCTTTATGTACTTCTCAGAAATATACTTAAAATGACATTTAAGTATACTTGACTTATATTTAGAAAAAGTCGAAATATATTTTAGCTATAATTGTGCTCCTAGAATCCGTGTTTTCATTGTTATACGGTAGGGGGTGCTAGTACACATCTTCTGTACAGAATTTCCAAAAAACACAAGTGAAGAAGAAACCGAAACAACAGATGCTTCCACATGTAATCTAACACAATCATCAGACATAAAACAGCATCAAAACTGTGTAACGTTATGGAATAAAATGTCGACCAATGAAGAGGTAATAATAACTGTCAAGCTTTGGGGTGTTGCTCGACTTCATCTACGTTTTGATTATCATTCTGAATCCAATTTATAGTCTTTTTTTCAGCTTTTTGTTCAAAATGTTGTTTATTTCTTTATTTTTTATTTATGAAACTTATCCACATTCAAGTGTTTAAAAAAAAGAATGCATGAAGCTAGAATAAAATGTTTTTGTTTAAAAGCAGATACCCTGTTCTTTTGATGTTTTGTATGTTCAGATATTCATGTAACAAAATATATACAAAATAATACCTAAGTAGGGACATAGTAGTATACTTAAAGTATGATGTAAAATTCACTTAAAAAAAACTTACGAGTATACTTTCAGTATAAAACTACTAAACTAGTAGTTTACCGAGACTACACTTCAAAGTGTACTAAAACTGCTACTACAAGTATTTAATTAGTAAACTATCAGTATACCTATAAGTCCACTTTTAGTATAGTTGCAGTACAAACTACACATTTTAATGTAAACTAATTGTGTACTCAAAGTTTACTACTGTTATACTGAAAGTATACTTAAAAGTATACTTTTATATACTAGAAAGTGGGCCAATTTAGTCCCAAGGAGTATTGAAATAGTACACTTACAAGTATACTACTAGTACACTGATATTTGTATACTTACTACATAAAGTATGCTTAAAAATATACTTGAACTTTACTTAAGTATACTTGCTAAAATAAACTTGAAGTATACTACTTTTTGGTAAGGGTTACCATAGAAAGTGCCACACTAACACGTCTTTCATATTTTAAACAAACTTGATCAAGTCTTGACTAAGAAAAAGGCAGAACTTCATCAGAATTGTATCGCTAAATAAAATATCTGTGCCGATAATAGTACTTCATTTAAGTCTGTGTACCATTTCTTACTAATAAGCGTGAGGTCAAGAGCGTTAGAGAGGTGGTTGTGTTGTGACACCTGGATTTGTGTGAGATGCCTGCCGTTGTGAGAGAGAGTGGCTTACCTGTTGTGTTCTTGCTTGCACGGAAGTGCATATAAAGGTTGGGCAGGTAAGCGCACGCGCTGAGTCTGACTGTCCAGGTGAGCTCAGACCTGCTCGCGCTGCATGATCGCATCCCGTGTTTGTTTGCGTGTGAATATGAACTGTCTTTTTTCTCTCCTGTGATCAGAAACCGTGAGGACTAATGGGGATTGTTTCACTCTACCTTGTCTTTCACTTCTGGCTCGCCACTGTCGGAGGTAAGACTGAGGAGCAATTTCATCAATCACACACACACACACATACAGTAGCCTACATGTGAGCAGTTTCGTTCCTCATTCAGTTTTTAATTATTAATCATTTGGGACAATTGAAGGCAAACGTTCGGCAGGCTTTTTTTTTAGCCCATTTACTTCATTATGTTAATTAAAGTATTTGTTAAAAAAAAAAAAGGTTATTTTGAAAATCTGCATCAATATAACAACCTATTTAGATTGTCAATCTGTCAATTTATATGTTCTGTGGAGATAGTTTCTGTTATTTACATTTAAATTGTTTCATATTATGAGCTTCGCCTCGTGTTTTCATGCTTCACTTCTGGCTCGCCACTGTCGGAGGTAAGACTGAGGAGCAATTTCATCAATCACACACACACACATACAGTAGCCTACATGTGAGCAGTTTCGTTCCTCATTCAGTTTTTAATTATTAATCATTTGGGACAATTGAAGGCAAACGTTCGGCAGGCTTTTTTTTTAGCCCATTTACTTCATTATGTTAATTAAAGTATTTGTTAAAAAAAAAAGTTATTTTGAAAATCTGCATCAATATAACAACCTATTTAGATTGTCAATCTGTCAATTTATATGTTCTGTGGAGATAGTTTCTGTTATTTACATTTAAATTGTTTCATATTATGAGCTTCGCCTCGTGTTTTCATGAGAAATATGTAAATAGTTCTTGTTACTGTAATTGTATAAATATTCATTATATGAAGATTCACAAAATAATCCCATTCAAATGTCTCTTAAAACTTGGTACATGAAACACAACAAGTGTTACTGTCAACTAATTGATCATTTTAATAGAGGAACAAACTTATCCTGGCATCACAAAACAATGATATACATAAAAATGGTAAACAGTCCAAAAACAAAACAAAACATAAATGCCCAAGTGCATGCTGGGAAGACAGAGAATGGGACTGCACCATAAACCCACTTTCTTTTTCTAGTGTAAGCATATTTGAACTTACAAATGTGTCAGTTCATCTCACCTGCTATGTTTATAGGTTTCACTTAAAAAGACCTCATGTTGTTGTAATAGAAAAGTAAAGCTGCAGTTCATGCAAGTGAAGAAAAACAACTAATTGATTTAAGAATAAACGTTAGTGTACTTTTAGTCTACTTGTTGCTCAGACTACTTTTTGGCAGAGAGCAAAAATATCAGCTGACTTTCTATGGTTTTGATGTTGCGTGAGAAACTTTGCAGCATTGAGTAAAGCGAACCGCATCCACAAACCACGCTGTGCTGTGTCGTGTGTACAGGGACGTGTTCTCAATTTAACGCTCTCTCCTGTGACGAGTGTCTGCAGCTGGGGCCACAGTGCGCCTGGTGCACACTACAGGTAACACGACTGCTTTTGCTTTCAACATTTTTCAGAATGCAGTGAAAAAACTCTTTATATACTTTATATGCTGTAGCAACAATGATAGTAAATTATTTTTCACGTCCTCTTTTTAATTTATTTTAAAAATTGCCATCAGGAAGGTGCATAGAACACCAAAATATATTTTTAAGAGAGGTTTTGTCCCATTGTCAGTTTTTTGTTAATTATGTCACTGTGCAACACTCTAAAGTGTTACCAACAATAATTAAAATGATTGTTTATCTAGAATTTCACCGACTTTTTCTCAATCGGCGAGAGATGCGACACACCAGATGCTCTTCTTCAGAAGGGCTGCTCCGACGAATTTGTGGAGTTCCCCGTCACGAATGTCAAAGTGCTGAAGGATCAAGGCTTAGGAAAGAGTGCCAGCCACACTAATGTTTCATACATCGCACCGCAGAAGATGCACCTCCAGCTTAGGCCAGGTATAAAAATGGGTGACACGGATTTGAAAATCAAAGAAATGTCTCTCTCTACCCACAGCTGCTCCTCTGCTGTTGAGGTACTTCCCCTGATGGTAAAATTAGAAATATTTAGTCATTCAGAGACAGAAAACCAACTATAGATTAACTACATAATGTCTACATATTATAGTGGGTGCCGAAGATCACTCTGACCTGGAAAACATTTGTACCACACTGGAATCTTAGAATGTAAACTTGTGCCATTTTGAGCTTTATTTGTCATTTCTCCTCTACAGGAAGTCAGCTGACCTTTCAAATTCAAGTGCAGGAACCGGAGGACCATCCGGTGGACATTTATTACCTGATGGACCTGTCAGCATCGATGATTGATGATCTGAAAATGATCAAAGACTTGGGTTCGACGCTCTCCAAAGAGATGGCTGAGCTTACCAGCAAATTCAGACTAGGATTCGGTTCCTTTGTGGAGAAACCAGTTCTGCCTTTCATCAAGATAACACGCGAAGAGTTGGCCAATCCCTGCAGGTGATTCCCATAATACACCACCTTAGCCAGATCTGAGGGGTCTGCCAGTATAAACCCAAGAAGTAAGATGGATGGGACATCAATGGGGGAAAGTGTGATTTAATTTCAACCAATCATGTTTATGACCTCTGAGATCAGTGAGTTACGTCACATGCCATTATCTTCCATTTAGAAGTGAGCGATGAACCGTTTCAGACAATAGAAACCCATTTTTATCCCTTTTCTCTTTTGCAGGAGTGTTGATTATGAATGTCTCCCCACATTTGGATACAGACATCTTCTGTCATTAACAAGCAGTACTGACAAGTTTAATGAGATCATCTCAAAGCAGCAGGTATCGGCGAACATGGACGTGCCAGAGGGCGGTTTTGACGCCATCATGCAGGCTGCGGTGTGCGGGGTGAGTCGGTTTCCACAGACTCCCTTGAAATCCTTTGCTTTTATGGAGGGATGTCATTTTGTTCCAACTTCTGGAAATGTCCCTCTCAACGCAGGACAGGATTGGCTGGCAGAACAATTCCATGAAGCTGCTGGTGTTCGTGAGCGATGCAGATTCTCATTTTGGGATGGACAGCAAAATGTCCGGCATCGTTGTCCCCAATGACGGAGAGTGTTACCTGGACGACAACAATGAGTATTCCATGACTGCCCATCTGGTAAGGTGAAGTCCGCAGCTTCAATTCCTGAGTAATCAGGAAATTTGGATCACTTAAAGGAATACTCCGGGTTACAATAAATAGAAATGAACCTCAATGGACATTTTTCATTTGATACAAATAAAAAAGAGGCTGTGAGGGATAGATGTAGTTTTTGGAAACACATATCTTCAGTATTTCACTCACGGCCTTATTTTCATTTGCATCAAAGAAAACCAGGGCTGCTGCGCATCGTCAAGAAAGCTTATCATTTGCAAGCCTTAAGCATATAATATAATATAATATAATATAATATAATATAATATAATATAATATAATATAATATAATATAATATAATATAATATAATATATTTTTGTAAAGCTGCTTGAAATTATTTTTATTTTTATTTTAGGCAAAAATATTAATATAAAATTGATAATAAAATAAAAAACACCATTTTATTTATCAACTACTTACAAAAGCATATGGGAAAAATAGAAAATAAAGCTTGTAATTTTGTGAAAGCATGTCAAGTAATAATTCAGAGTATTATTTTTTTAGATGTTGTAAATATAACTTAAGTTGTATTTAACCTGGAATGTTCCTTTACAAAGTCCAAAACAGTATTTAGTAGTTCTCGTTTAATTATTGTATTTTAAACCTAAATTAATTGAGTAATGCTTTTTAAAACAAATGAACGTAGTTCCGTCCTGTTTCCTGTAGTATTTTATCTGAATTTGTTGTCTGACTGGATGCCTTGATTTTGGTACTTTTGTCCTCTATATTTAGGAGTACCCAACATTAGGGCAGCTTGTCGACAAACTGGTTGAAAACAATATCCTCCTCATATTCGCTGTGACCAACAATCAGAGACAGAACTATGAGGTGAGAAAAGAGCAAGGGATTTTTCTCTTCCATGTTTATTCATTTTAGGCCACAATGAGGCAAACAAAAGGGCATGTGTTTTTCTGTGTATGTGGAACCTGAGAGGACCTGTGAAGAAAGATATATCAGTGTGTGAATAGACTGCATGAATCACTAGTGTATTCAATTCTCTTTACAACATGTTCAAACACAGTCTTTATCACATCACCCAGACCGACCTCTCATGACACAAATATTTGATGTTTTCTGAGTTCTCCTTTTCTTTCGTCTTCCCTCCCTTTCTCCTTATCGCTCTCCCACATCTCAAATTCTGTGGCTAATCTCCAGGAGTTTGGAGTTGATGTTTAACCACCTTCTGCCTTTCTGATAGAATTATGCAAGTCTGATTCCTGGTGCTACTGTGGGGGTGTTGGCATCCGATTCAAGGAACATTCTGGAACTCATCATGACCTCATATAAGGTACAGGAATGCATATTAGTCTTCACAAGAATCACTGTAACAAGGGTAATGTGAGAGTGTTCCTGGACGGTTGATGGAAATGGCCCTATTAGGCAAACATTCACACATTTAATGGTCGTGCACATGTTTTTTATGCTTTGCAAACTTGAGCGCTCTTTTGAATGTTTTGCTAATTCTGATGATTTAAGAAAATGTTATTTAGCATTATATATATATACTGTATTGAGGCCAGCAAAAAATAAAAAAAAAGATCATGGTAATTAAAAATCTGAATTCTGAGTTGGCCTATACACACACACACACACACACACACACACACACACACTGTTAATCAATGAGGAAATATAAAAAAGCAGAAATCAAATGATTAATTAATAAGTTGCATAAATTACCAAATAATCATTGAGTGTGAGAGGATTACTTTTTGAGAATTATTTCTCACGCAGATATGCATCTCATCTGTTCACCATTTCCTCATTTCACCCCTCTGCTCATTTTCTTGAGAATCGCCGTGTTCACAGAGCATGTCCGCACTAGTTCTACGGCTGTTGTTTGATCTCTTCATCTCTATTCTCCATTCCCCCATTCTCTCTTACCTCTGCCTGCACTCTAATTTTCATTACACCCCTCCAGAAACTACCTGAGGGCTGCACATCCTGGCCTACCTGACACAGGCCCACTATGGTGCCATATTATGGAAGTGTAAAGTCTGTGACAAACCCCAGTAAATAAGCTAGAATAGACTATTTGAATTGAAGTTGACAGTCTAAAATCTCACTGGACGTGTTGGCACCTGGTGTGCTCGTATTGCTGAGTCTGCACAGGAGTTTGAATGTTTTGCAAATTCTGATGATTTAAGAAAATGTTATTTAGCATTATATATATATACTGTATTGAGGCCAGCAAAAAATTAAAAAAAAGATCATGGTAATTAAAAATCTGAATTCTGAGTTGGCCTATACACACACACACACACACACACACACACACACTGTTAATCAATGAGGAAATATAAAAAAGCAGAAATCAAATGATTAATGAATAAGTTCCATAAATTACCAAATAATCATTGAGTGTGAGAGGATTACTTTTTGAGAATTATTTCTCACGCAGATATGCATCTCATCTGTTCACCATTTCCTCATTTCACCCCTCTGCTCATTTTCTTGAGAATCGCCGTGTTCACAGAGCATGTCCGCACTAGTTCTACAGCTGTTGTTTGATCTCTTCATCTCCATTCTCCATTCCCCCATTCTCTCTTACCTCTGCCTGCACTCTAATTTTCATTACACCCCTCCAGAAACTACCTGAGGGCTGCACATCCTGGCCTACCTGACACAGGCCCACTATGGTGCCATATTATGGAAGTGTAAAGTCTGTGACAAACCCCAGTAAATAAGCTAGAATAGACTATTTGAATTGAAGTTGACAGTCTAAAATCTCACTGGACGTGTTGGCACCTGGTGTGCTCGTATTGCTGAGTCTGCACAGGAGCTTCATCTAACAGCGTACCACATACTTACATAACATTATTGAATTGTTGATCCTGATTGGCTGACACAGGGTTTGGATGATTTGTTTTCTATAATACCCAGCTCTATGAAATACTCGATTCTGATCAAATGCTAAACATGATTTCCTACATAGCTGTGCTAGTTTAATATCTCTCATGTCACTCTACTGTGATCTCACAAAAGACATTTTTTATTTATTTGTTTTATTTTGTATTTTGCTCTTTTTTTTGTTTTGTTTTTTAATTTTGTTTAATTTTTGTTTTTGTTTTTCATTTCGTTTTTTGTTTCTTGTTTGTTTTGTTTTTATCTTCTTTTGGTTGTATGTTTGTTTCGTTTATTTATTTATTTTTAACTGTGTAGAAAATTATCAGCCTCCTCACAGGGGTCCTGATCACCCCATCAAGGTTTATTTTGCGGTAATGATTGGCTCAAAGGAAAGTTTTTACATTAAAATATTTTTAAAAATTCTACTCTTCAAATAGGACTTTATGTGTATGTTGTTTGATTGACAGGAACTGAGGTCAGAGATTGATCTGGAGGTTCTGGGCAACACTGAGGGTCTGCAGATTTCCTTCACAGCACTCTGTCAGGATGGGACCATCATCCCTGGATGTAAAAACTGCTCCAATGTCAAAGCTGGTGATGTGGTCAGTTCTTCATTCAATCTTTCTTTACAGTAATGCTTCCCTAGTATATTAGCATTCCCTAGTATATTCCTCTATTAACTAGCAAAAAAAAAAAAGCCTGTCATGTGTCAAGCATCTGTTCAATGAAATCACGAACGTGTCACACGCAAGTATGATATATAATGCAATGATTATAATGTTATTATAGGTTGTTGCTCTCATTGTGCTGTACATAACAGCTTTATGTGTTTAAACAAATCAAGCTGCTTGTCTGTTACAAACAAACCTCACCAAACAAGTTGGACATGTTTTGAAAATATTTGCTCAATATGTTGCCCAATATGTCCTGATTTCTGTGAAAAGTTTTTGAATCATACACAATTTCTCAAAGAAATTGAAACAAGAGTGATCTTTTTTCACTCAGGTATCTTTTAATGTTACGGTCGAGTTAAAAGGCTGTCTTGCCGGTCCACGGCACTTTTCCTTGCGGCCGGTGGGTTTCCAAGATGCCCTGGAGATCGAACTGGAGTCTCAGTGTGCGTGTGACTGTCATCAAACCCCTGAAGCGAACAGTGCCTACTGCAGCCGAGGGCGTGGGACACTGGAGTGCGGTGTTTGTGTGTGTGATCCAGGCTTTGTGGGGACGAAGTGTGAATGCACAGAGGGCCAAGAACAAATCAGTGACTGCAGGTGAGAACAAGCATCATGGAGTGTTTCCTGCGGGCACGCAGACATATTTTAATGTATGATTATATGTGTGGCAGGGCACATGAAGGTGCGGAGAAATGCAGCGGCCTGGGCGAATGTTTCTGCGGACAGTGTGTGTGCCACCCGTCCAGTTTTGGTCGCGTGTACGGGCCGTACTGCGAGTGCGACAACTTTTCCTGCCTCAGGTTCAGAGGAGAGCTTTGCGGAGGTCAGTACCCAGTGTGACCCTGTCTCAAGGTTTGAGTGGAGGAAAAGAAAGCGCTGACACAGTGGGAGGGATATTTGATCTGCTCTCGCACTGTGGAATGTTAATGAAAGAATAACACGCTGATAATTGCCAAAACAGTTGCTGTACTCGGGGGGACACGGGCTGAAGGGTTTTAAATGGCCATCCCATGTTTGTATTTATTTACATATCGATGTGAGTGTGCAATGTGAGGTTTTTATATTTACTTTAGTGCTGTCAATATAGCTTGATAATCATAACAATTATTAAGTGTGATAAATTATTTTTTACAAAATTTATTAAATTAATAAAATAATTCTGTAATAAGGAATTTTCTTACTATTGGAGCATTCAAGTTTGAAGCTTTTGTCTTAAAAGT